AAAGAACATCGTTGATGGAAAGAATAGAAGTAGTAACCGATGGGCAAAGAAGCAAAGAAGTAATTCTTAGTGGTGATGTGGGACCCATTTGGATGGATTTGGCGCATTTTCATCAGGATAGCATGTGATATGGCAAAAGTTTTATACATATCATCACTTTTTTTAGTTTTGCTCTCCACATCATCAAAAAAAATATAAAAAATGCCACCTAAGCAGGGTTAACGGCCCAAATTAACAAAATGACAAATGGAGTGCATTTCGTATAGTTGAGGGATCAAAAAAGTGCAAAAATTTGTTGAGGGACCAAAAATGTGCATTTCATAAAGTTGAGTGACCAAATTTAGCATTTAACCAATTAACAATGTTGTTTCCCCTAACTTCTAGTTTTTCTACTCTTTGAAAATTTATTCAATTTGGTCCCTAATTTTAACTTTTTTTATTGCAATTTAGTCTCTAACTTTTAAATTAGTTGCACTTGAAACAAGATATCAAAATGTCATAACATCAATCTCAATCACAAGATAGGTAGAATGTAGTGAGAATGAAATATAATATTTTTATTTCTTAAATCTCATTTATCTTCAAATTTTCTAATATTAAACGAGGACATAATAAAATTGATTATTAGAATGCCATAATTGTCACTTTCATTGTCTATGTGACTTCATAATTCAAAATGAAGCTATCCATTAAAATTGAAAAGCGGTAACAAATGGGCCTTTAACAATTTTTTTTCTCAAACAAAGGTCATCACGTTCAAGCAATGGTTAGCCTAGAGCCATGAGGCCTACAAACGCCAATAAGGTCCTCAATTATTCTCTGGGATACTACCACAGGCAGTTCATCGAAGTAACGCCATCCCATGCCCAAGGATCCGAACAACGGCACAAATGTTTGCCTGTCTGAATGGGTGCCGAAATTCACACTGCTAGTCCTTGTAAAAGAGAGCACGACATCTACTAATCAATGCCTGTAAGGATCCCAAAGAGTTGAACTGCTAGCAAGGAATCTGATTCCACTCACACGTCTATAGTTCTTCTGCCAGGTGAGTTCGAATGAATATTTAAGTTTGTAGGATTCATGACTATTATATTGATTCCAATTGTGTTATCAAATTAATATCTTTTATTATTGAAAAATTCAGCAACAATGAAAAATTGCGTCCTCGAATATGGATGGGATCCAACACCCTGCATGGTTCAGCACAAATATTTACAGCCTTGATGGGTTAGCAACTAGAAGAACATCAATGAGTTATGCAGCACTGAATCATAAGGAATCAGCATGCTGCACTTGAAAACTGTTGGAAAATACAACAAAGATGGGTCAATAAGCTGTCATGTACAGGACTCCCGTTTGTGTATTAGGCTTTCTAGACTAGTGTTTTTTCTCTGAGTTATCAGAAATCAGTCTATACCTGTGTGCAAAACGGAGTAACTAGACTCCCAGCTGCTGCTCGCTTGATTCGGCTGAGGCTGAGGCTTGTGATTCAGCTGAGGCTTGTGCTTGATTTTTGAGAGTTGAAATCTTCTTTTGCAATTCAAGATTTGATACCCGCTCACCTTCCAATGCTCGCTCAAGCTGTATGGTTGATAGTGTCAGTATTACACCTTTCAAAACTAAAAACAGAGCATTCAAATTAAAATGCTGCAGGGAGTGAGGAGAGCGAGGATAGTACCTTAGCAGCACGGGTACTCCATTCTCCTAAAATAGCTCTCAACCTTTCATTTTCTTCAACATACTGTTCCAATGTAATCTCAGTCAGATAAACAAGAACACTGTTTAAATTTAGAAATCAATCAATCATATTCAAACATAAAGGCAGTAAAGGAAAAATCAAAAGCATTTGAGATAGAAGTATTCAGCAATACACAGGCACATAATGGAGCAACACTTTGTATAGCAAGATGAAGTTGCTGAACTATAGTCACAAAAGAAAAAGGATATACAAATGTAGATCACCAGCAGAAAAATGCAATTATACAATGCCGTAAGTTGAATATTATGCAACCATTTAGTACAATAATACTTCATGATAACATTCATTGGTGCATTTTCCTAGAATTTTGCACTTATAATTCTACCAGCTTACCTGATTGTTGGTTGAGTGAACACGATGGACCTCTGCATCCCTCTCAGCTATTAAAGAACGTGCAAGCCTAAGCTCAGACTGCAGTTGATCCATCTGTAATGCAAACAAGCTGCCTTAGTTTCTGACAGAAAATCACTAATTACTAACGAAAGAGTCTTCAAGCCACTCAAGATACATAACCCCAAATTACCTCAGCAGAAAGTGTCCTTAGTTCCTGATCACGAGCTGCTAACAGATGGGCAAGATCAACCTGGAAGGATGTCAACAACAAACATTGTTTAACATAAGATGAAGGGGTGAATAATCTCAATGGATGTTAGAAGATGTGGCCTTTTCTAGTAAACACTTCTCTGGATTTGAAGAACTCATGTATAACACCAGTTTACAGCACAGGACTTCTACTATTACTCTGTCTATTTTCATTTAGCACAAAAAATTATAAAACAAAGAATACTTATAGTATAAGCAACTATAAATAGCACTCATGGTGATTAGTTTTTAAATGTTTCCAAACACAGTTCTATAATCAAAAACCTTTTGACGCTTGTTAATAAAATTCCTGTTTTATCCAGGATAAAAATTTTAACTCCATTTCCCACTAAGGGTAAACAAAATATTTACATAATTGAACTTTCTGTGGTTCCACACACAAAAGAACATTTATTCATTTAGATAGATCGTCACCTGAGGAGTGATTCCATCATTAGACCGTTCATATTTGCTTAAGCACTCTTGCAATCGAAGAATCTGCAGCAAACAGATAATTTTGTTATTTTTTATTCAAAAAATAAAAATAAAATTATACTATTGCTGAGGGATGCAAGAAAACAACCACTGGCTGCCATAAGTTCAGGATGATTTTGTTGCCATAAGTTCAAGATGATTATAACACATACCTCCTCACTAAGAAAGTGGAGATTCTCACGCTGATATTGCAATAAAGCCATTTGCTGGTCAGAGAGTCGACCACCATCATAATACCTGTTGCACAAGACTACTGTGAATATAGCATATTGCTGCATTACATTGGACTGTCTAGTGATTATGGTTCATGATTGATTTGTCAACTTTATTGCATCAGCTGTATAAGGATAAGTATTGCCAGGGAAGCTCCAGTAGCATAAAAACTCTTTACACCTTGACAATAAAAATTGTCAAGCAATGAATTATTTCGATGTGGAGCTAAGGAGATATTTTCAAGTGAGGCAACATTTTGAAGCATCTGCAAAATCCTTCACTTTGAAGCTTGACAATAAATTTATTTACATTAATATGATCTTCACAATTACCTTACACCTTCTAGAGGACTTGATGCTTGAAGGGGAGAATACAATGACTTCAAAACATCTGGCTGAGAATCCAAGGAATTGTAACGGTGTATGTAACCTACAAGCACCAAAATGGGGGAGATATGTCAAGAACTTGAAGAAATTATTCCAGGGAAAAAGAATTTCTCAGAACTAAAACGTCAAAAAATTCAAATTAGCCAGTATCCTAGGGTTAATGGCCCAAGTTTAGAGAATTGTTGTGGACTACTTATAGAAGTCTACCACTGCATGGAATTAAAGTATTATATAAAAGCACTGCATTGTTGTTATCTTCTATTTAAAAAGGAAAAGAAAACATGAGAGATAATTTAGATGGAATGCAAAATCCAAGTTTAGATATTAACAGGTTGATTTAGAGTAAGAAAATGAACTTGGTTAATCAAAGATACCCTGCAATGGTAAATCCACCTCCAAGGTGGAAAGTATAATGTTGTGAAATTGACAACATACCCCATACTCAGAGATGCCCAATCTAAAATCTACCAGAATTCAGTAAATACATCAATAACTTGAAATGTTAAGTGTGGTTGGGATGAAGCAAAGATTACCAAAGACAATCACTTTTTACCGGAAAAACCAGGCTACTGAGTAACTTTACAAGAGATCAATGTAATTTGCTCTGGATATAACTCCAAATGAGTTATCAACACACATTATGCGAATGCAACCACCAAAATGCTTTGAAATGTGTATATGAACTCACCAACATACATGCTTATAAAGAAACCAGCACAAACAACTTCAATCAACATAATAATCCTGCATATGAAGCAAATAAACCAGGACACTGTCAATGGTCTGAAGGTTCATAAAGTTAAATTTCAATTTTGGATGAAAAGATGGAAAGAATTTAGCACAAAATCTTCCATTTTAATTGAACAGCTATTATCTCATGTTGACATAAGTTCTGACCAAATCAAAGTTTCCAAGGAATTATCTCCATGCCAAGATTCTGAAGCTCAATACACCAGACTAAGGCAAAACTAAGTTAGACTTGCAAAATGTATCGCATATTGTATGGTATCTGTAATGATTCCACTGATATTTAAATTTACTTTAGCAAATTCATTTTTGATATAATATATCATGACAGGAGTGAAAAAATAACAGTAAACACAGAAACACGGGTAAGTGCTATGATACCTCAATAATGCAGAGATAGAAAGAATACTGATGTAGGATTCCCAAACCATGGCAAGCAGCATTGCGGCAGTTCCTACAATTGAAATAAAATTGAAGTTAACAAAGGATAAAGGTTCAAATTATGATATAGAAATGCCAAAAACAAGGAGTACAAAATAGATAAGAGTTCCAAAGGGCAAAGAGGCTGAAATTAGTAATACATGCAGTATCAAGCATTTCTTTTGTAAAAATTGAAAACATGCTCAATTGCTCATGACTAGCATGTTCTTCTCTTAGGGCTTCACAATATGGGGAGATGTGAAACGTCTTGTGGAGTATTAAAAATGTCTGATATTTAGCAGGAAGCAATCAACCTATAGTCTTATACACATGGACATACTTGGAGATGCATATCTGTTCAAGTACATCATAAAATGTACCAGAAAAAAAATTCTCCCAGTAGCACTCCCTTCTATAAGATGGGAAACATACATTAGGTAAGATTAAAATGGAGTATGCAGAACATTTTGATACCATAACAAAGACAAAATGTCTTGCAAGAACTGATTGACACAAATTTAGAGACAGTTACATTCACAAACACACACAAAAATGTACTTGCATATTTTGAATAAGATTTACATGGAAGGGAAAAGGGAAAAAAAAAAAAATATTAGGAAGTACACACCATATGCAGTAATGGCAAATGGCAGGCGAACAATGTGCTTCAACTTCTGACTGAAACTGTAATAACCCTACAAAACATATGTGCATGCACATTTAAGGGTTTCTCAACCAGGTAATATGCCAAGCAATGACATTGTTGAAATATCAGCAGCACCATGCCACAATGTGAAACAATAGACCTTATTCATCATTACCTCCCCAACCACCCTCTCACACTCTCCTTTGAAGGATTAGAAGAAACTTGGTGACAAATATTTCACTAACTAAAGCATAAAATATTACCTGCAATCGAATTTTCTGAACTTGATAAACCAGATATTGTTGAAAAATACCTGTATGCAAAAGCAAAATATGAAGTTACACAGGAGAATTAGATCTTTATAGCAGCACCATATGCATTCTATTCAGAGAAAAGCTACAGAAAATATTAGCACTAAAAATATCATACAGCAGTAGATTATCAAAATTAGATTAAAAAACAGCATTTTAGCATAAAGCATACAAGAATTGTCAAATAACAAACACCACAATGGCAAAATTTTATCTCAAATTGACGATATAGCTTGTGCAGTACCTGTAACAATTAAAAGAACAACATCACAGCTGCAAAGCAAAGGAGGAATTAATTTCTTTATGGGATGAAATATCCAAGGAGCTCCCGCAGCCAAAATAGCATAACCTGCCTAAAATTGGAGATCTATCAGAGGTTCACTCATCATTTTCTAAGAAAGAAAGCAAACCCTACACAACAATAAACATCCAAACTGTAGTTTCCAAAGGTGAACTTCTACTTGCCAGTACTAAACAGTAGAGAATTCCCCCAACAATACTCCTCGGTTTCCTGTGACCAAATAGAGGTGCCTCATGAAGTATATCGAGGAACCTGCAATAACACAATCAGTCATCAGCAACAGAAATTGCATCGTACTAATGCTACTACTAATAATAATAATAAATCAGAGTCGGTGAACCATCTCAGAATCTGAATGGCATTCAAAATTGAAAAAATGTATAGAAAACCAGCAACGGCACCGGAACAGAACCAGGAAACACGATGACGGAAGCTAACAGTGAAGAGATTGATGAAGAAAAAGTGAAATCGATCAAGTTCATGAAGAGATTTAGAACAGATTGAAGGAATTGAGACTTACAGGGCGTTTTCTTCTGGAGATGCAGGATTGGAAGTGTGCCTCTCAGTCGACATGCTCGTTTTTTGTTTTCTGCTTGAATACTTTTGGATTTGCGAATGATGTGAAGAAAGATCAGGGAAATGGAGAGTTCATCGGAATGAGAAGAAGAAGAAGAAGAAGATTGGAGAAATGGAGATAGCGTGGAGATTTCGTTCGTGCTTCGTCAAGAAAAGATTATGGAGTTGAGCATGTTCTTGATTTCGAAAGAGGATGAATGAACTTCCACTTCCACGATTCCAGCTGTCGAACGGGTTGGGTCAGCTCACTTGTGTGATTCGACTTAGTGCGGGTCACATACTCACACGTTGGAGATTACAATTTACAGTATTTTATTTATATATATATATATATAAATAGTATGTATTACCTCTTAAAAATTAAAATAAAATTTATTTTAAAATTATAT